TCTGCACAGCCCGTGCTCAGCCACCAGCACCTGCCAGGCACCGGCGTGCACAGCCCGGCACTGGCCTCCTGCTGCCACCGGCACCGCAATTTGACTGTAAAATGGCAGCATTGTGGTTGGTACCCGTGTGCCCAGGAGCTTTTTAAACATGCCAGAGCCAGTGTGTGCCCAGCTGGCCAAAGCAGCCACCGGCATCCTGGCTTGGGCCAGCACTGGTGTGGCCAGCAGGTGCAAGGCAGGATCGTGCCCCTGCACTGGGCACTGGGGAGGCCAAACCTCAAATCCTGGGGCTTAAAGGCCTCTTCCAACCAAAGCAATTTGATGGTTCTATGATTTGATGATTCTGTACCAGTGCAATCTACTGCACTCTCCTGCCTCTCCTTCTGGTGTCCCCCTCCCCACAAGTTCTGAGCAATGCAAGGAGGGGAGATGCCCCATCTCAGCGCAGTGGGCACCCGGCAAAGAGCCTCTGCAACTTCTTCTGGATGCCTGTTGGCTCCAGTGCCCGTTGCTGCCATGGGGAGCGTGCCAGGGACCAGAGTGGTCCTGCCTGGGGCTTTCTGCTTTTGGCCGGTGCTTTGCCCAGAAAAAAGCCTTTGCAAGGTTTCTGTGCAGAGACTGGCCCTGCACAGGCTGGTGCCCAAATGGCTGTGGCAGCTCGTATGGATTTTATTCCTCGCTGGAGCTTGGGGATCCATGAGTCCCATCAGTGCCTCTGCTACAGCCTCTCTTGCTCAGAGACATCCTGGTGCCACAGCAAGTCTAGCTGAGGTGCTTGGGTCTGGCTCAGCATTTTGAGTTTAGGGTCAGCCACTGTGCCCTGACCACTATCAGCCCTTGGCTGTTCCTCCTGCCTGTGAAGGTTTTTTTCGTCTTTTTCCCCCTGTAATTAGCATGCCAACCATACAAAAGTGATTTCTCACTGACCTTTCCTGTTCTCTCTCCTCTCCAGAGAGTCTTGACAGCAGTGAAGGGAGTGCAGCAGAAGGATGGAGAGCAAGCCAGCCGTCAACGGCCACACTGACCCCGTCCCTCACCAGGAGGACCTGCCAGGAGCAAACCACCTCTGCCAGGAGGGGCGGCCTTGCAAAGAGAAGAAAGCAGCTGGTGGGGAGGTGACGGTGATGGATGCTTCTCGTGAGCCCTTGGAGGCCAATGGCAGCATCGCCGGAGTCTATGTTGAGGCTTCAAAGAAGGTCATGAGCTTTTATGATGCCACCAGAGAGCACCTCCTGAGTCTGGATTCAGCCCTCTGCCTTCTGGAGGCCCAGGCTGCCATGGGCTCCCTCACGGACCCGGTGAGGAGCAGGCACGTCTCTGTGGCAGAAGCCGTGCAGCTGGGGCTGGTGGGGCTGGAGCTGAAGGAGAGGCTGCTCACTGCAGAGAAAGCTGCTACCGGCTTTGTGGACCCCTACACAGAAGAGAAGATCTGCCTCTACCAGGCCATCCAGAAGGACCTGGTCGGGAGGGAACAAGGCACCCGGCTGCTGGAGGCCCAGATGGCAACCGGCGGCATCGTGGACCCAGCCACGGGCTGCCGGCTCCCAGCAGACCTTGCCTGTGAGAAGGGATACTTGGATGAGGAGATGAGGCAGCTCCTCTCTGACCCCAGCAATGAGGACAGCAAAGGGTTTCTCAACCCCAGTACTATGGAGAAGGTCACTTACGCCGAGCTCATGAAGAGGTGTGTGGTTGATCCGGCCTCAGGCTTCCTCCTCCTGCCCCTGCAAATCACGTTCCCAGGGCTGGGAGGGAGGGTGAGCAGCAGGGATCTGCTGGACTCTGGCATCATCAGCCCCGACACGTTCAGAGCTCTGGAGGAGGGCAGGGTTTCTGCCCAGGAGGTAGCAGAGGATGACTCCGTTCAGCGGTTCCTGCGTGGGATGAGGAGCGTGGCTGGTGTTGTCCTGCCTTCCAGCGAGAGGAGGAGCCTCTACCAGGCGCTGAGGGAGCATCTTCTCGTGCCTGGTGCTGCTCTGATGCTCCTGCAAGTTCAGGCCTCCACCGGCAGCCTGACAGACCCCATAAAGAACAAGAGCTACTCTGTTGATGAGGCCATCAGGGTGGGTCTCATTGGCCCAGAGCTTCATGAGAAACTGTCTTCAGCTGAGAGGACCATCACTGGATACAGGGACCCTTGCACTGGAGAAATGCTCTCTCTGTTCCAAGCCATCAGGAAGGGCTTCATCCCCAAGGACCATGGCATTTGCCTTCTGGAGGCTCAGGTGGCCACAGGGGGTGTGATTGCCCCGGGCAGGCACCTCCGTGTCCCCACAGAGACAGCTTGCAAGTGGGGGTACCTGGACGAGGCCACAAGACAGCTCCTCTCCAGCCCCACTGATGACATGAAGGGGTTCTTTGACCCCAGTTCCAAGGAGAAGCTGACCTACGCAGAGCTGCTCAAGCGCTGTGTCACCGACCCCAGCACGGGGCTCCTCCTGCTGTCGCTGGGTGGAGACAGCAGAGAAGGGTCCGAGGGAACCCACCTCTTCTTTGATCACAGGACTCAAACAGCCCTGGAGAACACTTGGGTCCCCGTTGCTTTGGGCAAATTCAAGGGAAAGCCAGAGTCTGTCTGGAAACTCCTCTTCTCAGACCTCATCCAGAGTGAGCAGAGAGCCGCCCTGGCTCAGCAGTATCTGGCAGGAACGCTCTCTGCACAAGAACTGGGCAAGGCCGTCAGTGCCACCATTGAGGAGATGGCTTCCACCGCTAACGTCACCTTTGAAGGGCTGAGGGACCGGGTGACAGCTGACCAGCTCCTCAGCTCTGAAATCATCAACAAAGATTTGTTTAAGAAACTGAAGGAGGGAGAAACATCAGCCAAAGAAGTTGTGGGCATGGACACCGTCAAGAAGTACCTGCAAGGGACAGGTAGCATTGGTGGGCTGCTGCTTCCTGACTCCCAGGAGAAGATCAGCATCTACCAGGCAAAGCGGAAAGGGCTTTTGAGGCCAGGAACGTCACTGATCCTCCTGGAGGCACAGGCTGCCACTGGGTTCATCATTGACCCCACTGCCAATAAAAGGTATTCTGTGGATGAAGCTCTAAGAGCCAATGTCATTGGCCCCGATGTTTACGACAAGCTACTGGCTGCAGAGAAATCAGTCACTGGCTACAGAGACCCTTACACGGGTGACAAGATCTCCCTCTTCCAGGCCATGAAGAAGGAGCTCATCGTCGAGGAGCACGGCATCCGCCTGCTCGAGGCCCAGATCGCCACCGGCGTCATCATCGACCCCGTGCACAGCCACCGCATCCCTGTGGAGGTGGCCTACAAGCGCGGCTACTTTGACAAGAAGATGAACTTAATCCTTTCTGATCCCACCGATGACACCAAGGGCTTCTTCGACCCCAACACCCATGAGAACCTCACCTACCTGCAGCTGAAGGAGAAGTGCATCACGGAGACGTCCACCGGGCTCTGCCTCCTGCCCCTGAACAGCAGGAAGCGCCAGTTCGTCGACGATGCCACCAGACGGGTGTTCAGGAGCTCCTGGCTGCCCGTCAGGTTTGGGCGGCTCCGAGGGCAGAAGGTCTCGGTGTGGGACCTGCTGCACTCCGAGTACTTCAGTGAGGGGAGGCGCCGGGAGATATTCAACCACTACCAGCTGAGGAAGCTCAGCCTGGAGCACATTCGGGTCATGCTGGAGGAGGAGATGAAGAAATGGGCTCCCATCAAGTTCCCGGCCATGAGAGGCAGTGTCAGCGCTTACCACCTGATGGAAACCGGGGTCATCGACAAGGCCCTGTTTGAGAAGGTGCTGGAGGGATCCGTCATGCCGGAGGAAGTCCTGCGCATGGACTCCGTCAGGAAATACCTCTACGGCTCTGGCAGCATCGGGGGGATCGTCCTCCAGCCATCAAACCAGAGGATAAGCATTTATGAGGCCATGAAGCAAAACATAGTGGTACCAGGAGTAGCCCTCCCGCTGCTAGAGGCCCAGGCTGCCACTGGCTTCATCATTGACCCAGTGAATAACCAGAAACTCTGTGTGGATGACGCCGTCAGGGAGGGCATCATTGGGCCAGAAGTCCACGAGAAGCTGCAGCATGCAGAAGGGGCTGTCACAGGCTATAAGGACCCTTTCACAGGCAAGAAGATCCCCCTCTTCCAGGCGATGAAGAAGGGACTGATCACAGACAAGCAGGCCATGCAGTTGATGGAGGTGCAGATGGCTACAGGAGGCATCATCGACCCGACATGTGGCCACCACATCCCCGTAGAATCTGCACAGAAGCGAGGGTGCCTGGATGAGGGTACAAGCAAGGCCCTTTCTACGCCCAGTGACAACACCAGAGCCTTCTGCGTCCCGGACAGCAAAGAGACGGTGACCTACGCTGAGCTCATCAAACGCTGCCAGAAGGACGAGGCCTCCGGCTTCCACCTGCTGCCTCTGGCACAAACAGCTGCTCCTGCCTACACCGACCAACAGATCCAACAGATTTTCAAGGAAACGATGGTGAAGGAGAGAGGGGTCTCCCTCTGGGAGCTCATCCACTCTGGGTACTTCACCGAGGAGCAGAGGAGTGACTTCATGGAGAAGTTCCGCTCTGAGGAAGCGTCGCTGCAGCAGCTGGTCGCTCTTGTGCTCAGGCTGGTTGGGGAGATGGAAATGAAAGCCGGCTCCCAGATCACCCTGGAAGGCCTGCGGGGCGGCGTTCCCGCCGTCTGGCTGCTGGACACTGGAATCATCACTCAAAAGACCTTTGAAGAACTGGCCCAGGGCATAAGGACTCCTGAGGAAGTGGCTGCGATGGAGAGTGTGAAAAGGTACTTGCAGGGCACAGGCAGCATTGCCGGGGTGTTCATAGAGGCATCCAAAAAGAAGATGAGCTTTTACGATGCCATGAAAAACAACCTCCTCCTCCCTGGGGCTGCTCTGAGGCTGCTGGAAGCTCAGGTGGCTACAGGACATCTAATGGACCCAACCACAAACCAGAGGCTCAGCGTGAGGGACGCCGTGAAAGCGGCTGTTGTTGGTGAGGAGCTCACTGAGAAACTCCTTCTAGCTGAGAGGGCGGTGACTGGCTACACGGACCCCTACACAGGGAGCTCCATCTCGCTGTGCCAGGCACTCAGGAAAGAGCTGATTCCCCTGGGAGATGCTATTCCCTTGCTGGAGGCCCAGCTGGCCACAGGAGGGATCATTTTCCCCGTTCACCACCATCACCTTCCAGTCCAGGCTGCCTGCAAATACGGCTTCTACGACGAGGACCTCAGCCAAACCCTCTCTCAGCTGAACGACAGCACCAAAGTCTTTCTGGATCCAAACACGAAGGAGAACGTGACCTACCAGCAGCTGAAGGACAGGTGCATCCATGAGGCTGAGTCAGGCCTCTGGCTCCTTCCTCTGTCAGAAGATGCCATGTTCTGTGTGGATGAACAAACCATGGAGGTGCTGAAATCTGTGACCGTATGCGTCAACATAGGGAGGTTCAAAGGACAGACGGTGTCAGTCTGGGACCTTCTCAACTCTGAATACCTCTCAGACAGCAAGAGAAGAGAGATAGTGCAAAAATACAAAGGTGAGAATACTGAAGTGCTGCAAGAAATCGTAACAATTGTCACCACAATCATCAGAGAGACTGAGGCACAAGGCAAGAAGTTTGCGTTCAAGGGCCTGCGGAAAAGAGTGTCCGCCAGTGACCTCTTCCAGTCCCAGCTGATAGACAAGAAAACCCTCGACGAGCTCAACCAGGGTAAGAAAACAGTCCAAGAAGTCACTGAAATGGACTCAGTCCGCAGGTACCTGGAAGGCAGCAATTTCATAGCAGGGGTCCTCATACAGCCAAGCTATGAGAAGATGAGCATCTACCAGGCCATGAGGAAGGGCATCCTGAGGCCAGGGACAGCTCTGGTGCTGCTGGAGGCACAGGCAGCCACCGGCTACATCATCGACCCGGTGAAAAACCAGAAGTTTTCGGTGGAGGAAGCGTTAACTGCAGGTCTAATCGGAAGGGAGATTTTTGAGAAGCTGCTCTGTGCTGAGAAGGCCGTGACGGGCTACACCGATCCCTACACCAAAGCCCCGATGTCCCTCTTTGAGGCTATGAACCAGGGGCTGATTGTGAAGAGCCACGGCATCCGCCTGCTCGAGGCCCAGATCGCCACCGGCGGCATCATCGCCCCCGTGCCCAGCCACCGCATCCCTGTGGGGGTGTCCTACCAGCGTGGCTACTTCAACCAGGAGATGAACCAGAGCCTCTCCGACCCCTCTGACGACACCAAGGGCTTCTTCGACCCCAACACCCACGAGAACCTCACCTACATGCAGCTTCTGGAGAGGTGCGTCCAAGATTCAGAGACAGGGTTGTACATGCTACAGGTTGTACAGGAAGGAGGACGGTACTTCTACATCGATGAGTCTACCAAACAGGTTTTGCGCTCAAAGCCCCTGAAAGTGAAAATTGGGAAGTTTAAGGACCAAACAGTTTCCATCTGGGAAGTTCTCTGCTCTCATTACTTCTCTGAGCAGAAAAGGAAAGAACTAGTGATGCAGTACAAGTGCAAAACCCTAACACTGGAGGACCTTATAGCCCTCATCTACAAGATCATTGAGGACACGGAACAAAGAGCAGAAGCCCTCAAGGTGAAAGGACTCCGGGAGGATGTGTCGATATCAGAATTGTTTAACTCTGAGATCATCGACAAGAAAACTCTGGACCAGCTGCAGGATGGAAGCCTCACGCTCGCCAGCCTCACGAAGAGAGACACTGTCCAGAGGTACTTGGATGGCACTGGATGCATTGCTGGGGTTCTGCTCCCAAAAAGGAAAGAGAAGATGAGCATATACCAGGCCCTGAAGAAGGGCCTCCTCACAGAGCAATGTGCGGAGGGGCTGCTGGAGGCACAGGCTGCCACTGGGTTCCTCATTGACCCACTGGAAAATCAGAGGCTCTCTGTGGAAGAGGCCATCTCCTCAGGGCTGGTGGGCAGCGAGCTGCGTGAGAAGCTCCTGACGGCAGAGAAAGCTGTGACGGGATACACGGATCCTCACACAGGAAAGAAAATCTCCCTCTTCCAGGCCATAAGGCAGAAGATAATGGTCAAGGAGCACGGCATCCGCCTGCTCGAGGCCCAGTTCGCCACCGGCGGCATCATCGACCCCGTGCACAGCCACCGCCTGCCCGTGGAGGTGGCCTACCGGCGCGGCTGCCTGGATGATGACACGTTCCTCCTGCTTTCCGACCCAGACCATGGCAGCAAAGGTTTTACAGATCCAAACACGCATGAGAAGATCAGTTACAGTCAGCTCCTGCAGAGATGCTCCAAAGACAGAGATACTGGCTTGTATCTGCTGCAGGTGATGGAAAAAGAAGATGACTACTTCTACATCGATGAGCAAACAAAAAAAGCCCTGTTATCTACAAAGGTACAAGTGCCTGTTGGAAAATACAAAGGACAAGTGTTGTCCCTGTGGGAACTTCTCTGCTCAGAGTACATCACAGAAGAGAAAAGAAAAGAACTGGTGAAAAAATATAAGGAGGAATCCAATCATATTATACAGGGAATCATACAGACAATACTAAAGATCATTGAGGAAAAAGAAGAGGACAGAACTGACATCTGGTTCCAGGGAATCAGACAACAAATAACAGCATCAGAACTTCTCAGTGCACAGATAATCACAGAAGAAACAATGGAAAAACTCCATGAAGGAAAAGAGACGGCACAAGACATAGCACAAATGGATAGTGTGAGGAGGTACCTGGAGGGAACTGGAAGCATTGCCGGTGTGATGGTGCCCTCCAAGACTGACCCCCAGAAGATGGAGAAGATGAGCATCTACCAAGCTATGTGGAAGGGCATCCTGCGGCAGGGCACCG